ATAAATATGTACACTAAAATTAGAAAAATAATTTTAAAAGAAAAAAAATCCATGTGAATGAGTTTAGCACAGGGCCTAGAGTATAATCGGTTATCAGAAATTATCTGAATCTGCATTATCCATAATCCTTGCCTGGTGTTGCCAAGACCCTAGATTAAAAACTCTCCACCATTTAACCTGGGCACCCCCTGTTGTTGATGCTGCCATATTGCTTAAAAACCAACCAATCAACCAAATAAAGAAAGGGAAAGATTGAGAGAGGATAGGGAGGGAGAGAAAGAGGGAGGGAGGAAATGAATCAGATTTTTTCCTTATTTCTGGAAATGAGCAAGAGGAAAAAAATATTTTCTCTCCTTTCCTGGATTTCCTCTTCTTCTTAAATCCAGGTCCTATTCAACCTTTGGCAAATATTTTCTTCCCTGGCTGTAACTTTATCTTTCTCAGGAAGGGACATTCTCTTCAAATGAGAGATTCTGGCCTGCTGCCCAAGCCCACATCATATTAGATAGTGTGCTTGATTTTTTTTAAGAGTCCAGACTTATTGGTTTGGGGAATGTTATGTGGTTAAGAGGATACAGGATGATTTGTCTTAGAAATGGCCGGGAGCTTAGAGCTAAGCAAAATCTTGACAATAAAGATATAGTGTGGGCCTGGATTCAGTAGAAAACAATTGGAAGAAAACTTTGAGGGGTTCATGTGAATATGGAGAATGAAAGGAGGAAAACAATCAAGATGACTGATGTTTCGCCTTCCACACCCATGAAACATAAGTACCTAGAGCTTGAACAGAGGAGAATAAAATGATAAACTCCCTTTGGGACTTATGGTCAGGAGTAAGGGCAGGAATGTCAAGGGAGGTCCATTAGCAGTTTAAAATGTAAATCGCAAATCAGATTTGCCTCAGTCTAAAGTTGCAGATTTGCCAACTATCACTTTGGGCAAGAGGGGGGAATATTTTGAATGGCGTTGAAGTCAGCATTGAAGTCTTCCTGAAGAGTAGTGAGCCTGATGGATCCTCCGTTCTTAGAGAAGAGGGAAAGGGATACCATAAAGGAATAGGGAGTGAGTAGCCAGAGAGTATAATGCCAAGGGTAAGAAAGACAATTTCCACAAGAGGTACAGAAATAGAGACAGATGTACTAGCCCTGTGAAGATGATGTACGAGCCCTGTTGGATCCTCAGCACCACATAAAAATAAACAAAATACGACAGAGCCATATTCCACAGTGTAGGTATAATCAAGCAAAGACCCTGGCAGGCTGGTGTGGTGGCACTCTCCTGTAATCCCAGTGACTTGGGAGTTTGAGGCAGGAGGATCAGATGTTCAAGGCCAGCCTGGGCAACTCAGTGACACCCTGTGTCAAAATAAAATTTTAAAACATTGGGAATGTAGCTCACTCATAGCCCCCTTGGGGTCAATCCCCAGTACTGAAATAAAGAAAAAAAAAAGTACCTTGTGTCTCTTGGTTATAATTAGATACACACACCAGAGAAATCAAGAATACAATACTGTTGGGCTGGGGTGGTGGCTCAGCAGTAGAGCGCTCGCCTCACATGTGTGAGACTCGGGTTAGATCCTCAGCACCACATAAAAATAAATAAACAAAATAAAGATATTGTGCCCTCTAAAACTAAAAAAATATTTTTAAAAAATACAATACTGAGTTGTAGCAATAATACAATGTTGGGAGTATACATTAGAGGCAAGCTAAATCTCCATTCTAACCATTTAGAAGCTCTTGGAATGCCCTGAACTCTGGACTTTGACAGCAATACCTAAAATCTGTTTATTTTATGGATCTATCTAAGTAGGCTTTTGCAATATTAATAAAAGAAATTCTTCTAAATTATTGGGTATGTCATTTAGCCTAGAACTCAGGACTCCTGATCTCAGGCAATGGATAGTTCTCATCAGCTTGCTGCATCTCAGGATATCCCCAGACACCTGTATTTTAAATTCTTAAGCTGGGCACGATGGTGCACATCTGTAATCCCAGCAGCTTTGGAGGCTGAGGCAGGAGGAGGGTGAGTTTAAAGCCAGCCTCAGCAACTTAGCAAGGCCCTAAGCAACTCGGAGAAACCCTGTCTCTAAATAAAATACAATAGAGGACTGGGGATGTGGCTCAGTAGTTGAGTGTCCCTGGGTTCAATCCCCAGTACCAAAAAATTAAAAATAAAATAAAACAAAAACCTTAAGTCAGGGATCCTAATCCTGGTTAACCACATCCTAGCACCCTCCCACTAACTCAGTTCCCCATCCTATGTACATATGCTTGCCAAATGCTCCTTCTTCACCTCCCTCTATCCCAACAAATGTGTATAGCTGGTAAGCCACATCCAGGGATGGGTGTGGGTCACCATGGTGACAGAGGAAGCCCAGATGAAGCAGGAGAGAGACAGAAACAGCAGGGGAAGTTTCTTGGAGCGTAATACACTAACTCCTGCCTTTCTTAGAAGTACTTCCCTTGAGTCAGAAAAAGACTAAGAGGTAAAGAGGGCTGCTGTCATGTTGGGGAGACATTGGAATGTTTGAGCCCTTCTTTAAATTTTTCTTTTCTGTGACTTTCAGGTGATCATCAGTATAATCATCCGATTTTAAGCAGTGCTACCCAGACCCCTACACATGGTGAGAGATGACTGAGAACACTCGGCATTCCATCCTCATTCCAAGTGGCTCCATTCCAACCATGGATGCCTATCTGAGCATCACATGCATGGTCATTGACTCACTGAAACTGAGGAGCCACATGCCTGCCCTCCTCCCGGCCACAAATCTTCACTTTCTCTTTTTCCCTCTTGGTGCTTCTGTCTCTGATATCAGAGTGATTTCCTGCCATGAAAGAGAAGAAGCAAGATCCTTTCTCAACTCATTTACATTTGCAATATGTGTCACTTCTTGCGGTCATAGATTTCTGTGTCTACGGCAAGAAGATGAACACGCTTCTTTGCCCAAATCTACTTTTGGCATCATTCATACAAATGGACATGAGACTTGGTGAAACTATCTCGATCTTCCCCAAACTAATTAATATTCGATGAAACTCAGAGCTGATTGGGCTTCAGCCTCTTGGCAGGGTAAGAGGCAGAGAACCCTTAGCAGAGGAGGACAGCCAAAGAATTACAAAACCATGTTTTTCCCTCCTCGGTTCTAACATCCTCCCACCAGGTCACAATATTTGGGACCACGGAGAAAAACCTATTTGGGGAGTCCCTGTTCAAAGCTCAACAGAATGTAAGACAGCCATGTAAACTGTGAAGCTTCAATTATTCCTGTCTCTTTGCTATGAAAGAGCATAAGCATTATTCACGTTTTAGTGAGAGAGAGTCTGAAAAATACAAAGATAAATTCAACAACCCACATGGTAGAGACCTACCACTCTCATGTGAGATGGCACAGTGCCTCAGCATTGAGGTAGAGGGACATTTTAATTAAAAGTAGGGGAATAGACTGTTTTGATGTGCCCCTTAAGTGTAGTGCTCCTAGTAGAAATATATGACTAAAGAGTAGTATAATCAGATATTTTAGGTTGTAGGGTCTAGCTAGAATTAGAACTGAGAGAGATCATTGAAAAGAAGTGGCAGTGTTGAGGGAGCAGGAAGGAGGATCGATATATGAAACACGTTGAGAAAGATGTGTTCGTAACTGAGCACGGCTGAGGAGAGCCGTGAAGAACAGCAAGCCAAGGTTAATGAGAAGAGTGAAGGAGGGGCTGATAATACCACCTAAGCAATCAGGAAAAGCATGTGCACGGGGAATGGAGTTATGCGTGGTGAGTTTGGATCTGGACATCAAGAGTTTAATATGAGTCTAGGATTTCCAAGAAAAAAAAATCCTTCAACAGGCAGGTAGGGATACAGAAATGAAGTCTGGGGGAAGGTTAGTGCAGAAGATCCAAGATAAACTTTGGAGACAGCAACAGAAGCCTTGGGAGTGAGAACAATCTGTGCAAGAATCCCAAAAGAGAAAATCAGAGAGTAGAGATAGGGAGCCCCAGGATGTCCACGGTGACGAGAGCTTCCACTGGCTCAGTAACATTCTGGAAAGAGCAAAGGCTGAGCTGATTTTTCCCCAGATGGGGGTTGATGAGCTCCAGTACCTGCCCTTGAGCAGCTTCAGGTGTAGGGGGAGCATTCCTGTCTTAGATATCACCTTTTCCCCAGAAACTGGCAGAGCAATTATTAAGAAAGGAGGAGGCCTTATTAACCACAGAGGTCCAATTGGATCCTTGTTTGGTGCCACATAATATGAAATAATCAGGAAAATCCGAGAGCAAGGCATATGCTGTCAAGAAGATGGCAATCGATGAAGAGCCCCAAGACCAACTCAGGTCAAAGTATTAGAGAACTGGCGAGAAGGGTTAAGCAAGCCAGAAGAGAAGACATCATGGTGAGCTGAAAAGATGTGACATGATTACAACCAAGAGCTTGGAGTTAAGGGGGAGAATCTGAGAGAGGAAGAGTGAGGAAGGAGAGAAAGCATGATCAAGGGGCCAGGGGCAATCCTGATGGGGACAAAAGGCAAGTTAGAGTTGGCACTGACTCAGTGTCATGCTTTAGAAAACAGTGGTGGAGCAACAGTATCCAGAAATATTGCATTTGGAAGGGGGTGAGCTGAGTGATGTCCTTCTTGGAAGAATGATGCCAATCCGCAGAAAAAAAGTCTGTTCTTCTCAAGTACATCCAGAAGTGAAGAGACAAAGGCTAAGGGACAGGTGGCTATGAACCAAGTGGAGGGATCAGAGCTGTCAGCTTCCTGCCCACCCCACTTCCTGGCATCTGTCCTGGTCCATGCCAGGGAGGTGCTCTCTGTACAGTATGTTCTGATCTCTCAGGGATGCACAGCATCCCCCACCCCCTCACATATGTACCGAGCTGGTATGAACAACAGCTGATTGGCTGAAATCCTCTGGCTCAATCCCCAGTTCTGGGGTGACAATGCAGGCAGGAAAGGATAGAGAAGCCAGGAGTTCCCTATTCTTGGAGTTGCCCTTGGATAAAGCCAAGGAGGGCTTCTCACTCCCCCATTGTCCACAGAATTCTCGTGTTCCATGATTCCAGCACACTCTTTGCCAAGAGGTGTGGGAAACTACAGTCCATCTGCACATCTGTCTCAAGACCCCTTCTTAGAGGTGTACCAACCATGGAGGATGGAGGGATGATGCAGCCAAACTGTAGCCTCTCAACTGCCGGGTTTCTGAGAATAGTGCCACTATTTTCACCAGCAACTACCTCCTGTCTTTTTTGTTGTTGTTGTTGTGGCTCCTCTTCCTCCTGTCAAGCTATAGGGCATGCTTGTTTGCCTTCCCACCACTCCTCTCTGACCCCAATGCTCACCACCTCCCCCTTACCCAGCCATGCCCCTGCTCTCTCCCTTCCTGTCTTATTCCTAATCTGACTCCTAGCTCACCCTGCTTGGTGCCCCCATTGGTCATTCACTTCATTTCCCTTTTACCATTTTTTTTTCCATTCCTTCCTCCATTTTCTCCCCAGGTCTGTCACTGAGCAATATTCCATCCTCTCTCTTCTGACCTTGGAATCTCAAGGGAAGAGGAAAAATCTCAGGGGAAGAGGAAGGGTGTGATGAGCATGTCTGCCCACATTCTTTCCTCCAGCACCTTAGAGAGGACTAAAGGGGCTCCTGGGAAAGGGATTAAAGTAAGATACCTTGGAGGGGAGGCTCACAATGGCTTGTCGGGTGTGCAGCTTGGAGAGGGCCAAAGGAGAAGTAGCTGTCTGAGGAGCGGAATGACATTGTGCACAGAGCGTGGGTTGGAACTGTAGCAGAGTTGAGTCCTAGATGCCCTTCCTCCACGGGTATGTAGAAGACGTCTACATACAGCTCCTCCCAAGACCAATTTGTCTGAGTCAGAGAGTGGGGTTTTCCTGCAGCTATTAGTAGAGGATACTTTAGCACAGAAGTGGATGATTTTATGATGYTCCTCAGTTACATCTGGCTTACATTTTCATCAGACAACCCAGTGATGTCCCAGGAGAAAAATTCTACTTCTGAGTCTGAGTTCAGTCTGCCATTCAAGGAATGGTCAATGCCATAGGAGCCAGTGACAGTTAAAACCTCCTCCTAGGCTGATTGACAACTGGAACTGAACCCGAGGGAAACTGAGTCAACAGCCCCTGCTGTGTCCTAGCCTAGTGATTCAGGAAAGCAGAATGGGGACTCTAGTGAGTGATGAGGCAGAAAGTGGAGAGAGGAAACCTGGACTATAGCTCTTGCCTACCTCAGCTTTTGTCTTCACTAATGCAATGCACTTCCCTCCCTTTTCTTGCAGAGAAGCCAAGGATGAACAACATCCTGACATCAGCCACCGAGCCCTATGACCTCTCCTTCTCCCGCTCTTTCCAGAACTTGGCTCACCTTCCCCCCTCCTATGAGTCTGCAGTGAAGACCAACCCGAGCAAGTACTCATCTCTGAAGAGGCTAAGTAAGCCAAGTTCCCCTTGGGGCTGAGGTCTGTCTCTGAGGATCTCCAAAGCATCCTCCTCTGTCTCACTCTCTGGTCTAGTTACCAAGAGGACAGGTGCAGAATCCCAAGGACCAAGAAGGAGTGGTACACAGGAAGGTGTACATGATCTTTCCATAGAGAGAACAGAGGCCACAGGACTCAGATCTACATTCCCATAGGGGGCAGCACTTCAACTCATGCACCAGTTCAACTGCAAGGAGCCTTCCCTAGCCTACATACCACCTGTGTTTTTCAAACCATGGGCACTTCTTGCTCTATATCCTATCTTGAAACAGACAGTAGTAGTGTCCAGAGCTTTCTCTGAGACCTTTCAAAAGCCTCATAAACTGGCTCCCTCTCTAACCAAAGCAATGCCATCTTAAGGACCAAAGACTTCTACCTCTCAGGTGCAAATCCCATTTCATCAGTTAAAGCTGGTTTATCCAGGGACTGCAGTTCTGCCATTTGAGTCTAGGTAGGCTGTGGTATTGATGGGTTTAAGATACTAAGAAGTCAAGAAAGTTCATTGAATGACAGCTCTCCTTTCCAGATCTTCTGACCTTTGGACCACTCTTGCCCCCTGCTCTCCCCATAAATCTCTTTTTATGATCATCCAACTGCAATTCAAGACTCAGGGCTTCTGGGTAGGATGGCTCAAGTTTACATCAGACACCTCTGTGGTGGAACATTGAGTTTCTCTGGCAAGAGGAGGGCATCTCTGATGAGTTGAGGAATCTGATGGATGTCCTGGAATGAGGGAATGTCACTCATTAGGCAGGATATATCCATCAGCGACTCCTCTGGGCCAAATGAGAAGCAGGCCCCATTCCTGCATTTGGCAGAAAATTCAAATTCTGTCTATAGGAGGTTCACGGCTGAAATTTGGAGCAATGCAGGTTTGTGTGTGTCCTACATAAATTCAAAGGTCTAGAGGGAAGGTCTCTAAGAAAAGCATGGAGCATCTGAATGAAATGCACACATAGGATCCTTCCAGCCTGCTATAGTTGTGGGTACAGGCAAGAGTTTGTGTAGGCTGATTGTATGGTTGTGTGGGGGCTGGATGCCCGTGTGTTGGCTTCCTGCGCATTGGCTGCTATTCCAGAGAAGGTGTTACTATATTGCTAAGTTAAGGATTTTCACAAGTGCCTTGTAGTTGGAGCATCTTACTTATCCTACCAGGAGGCTGGTTCTGTGACCCAGCTCCCAAAGAGTCTCTAGACCTTGTATCTGAAAGCTGCCGAGTGCTGCTTAGATGTTTCAGCAAGACAGGGAACCATTCTATTTCAGGACTGTGGTGAGATAGGTACAGCGTCAGGGCAGGAGGGCTCAGAGAGTTGGGCTTGCATCAGCTCTGCATGAACTCTCTGGTAATCTTGAGGAAGCCCCTTAACCTCTTGCTACTTGAGGTGGTCCTTGGACCAGGAGCAGCACCTGGGAGCATGTTAGAGAGGCAGACTGTTGGACCCCTACCAAACCCCTGAATCAGAACCTGCACTGCACAAGCCCCCAAGGGTTAGTTTGCACATTCAGTAGAGTAGCATGGCCTTCACTTGTCTGGGCCTCTGTGTCCCATTCCATCAACTAAAGGACTTTGACTATGTTGTCCTGGAAGAGTTACAGGTCTGTGTTGAGCAAGTTGCCTGAAGGGCTCTATCCAAGGCATGGCGATGGGGTCACGTGTTATCCTCTCTCTCTTCTCTCTGTCTTCCCTGCAGCTGACAAGGAGGCTGATGAGTATTACATGAGACGGAGGCACCTGCCTGATCTGGCTGCCCGGGGCACTCTCCCCCTCAATGTCATCCAGATGTCACAGCAGAAGCCGTTGCCACGAGAACGACCCCGCAGGCCCATCCGGGCCATGTCCCAGGACAGGGTCCTGTCCCCAGAGCGGCGCCTGCCCGATGAGTTCAGTATGCCCTACGACCGCATCCTGTCTGATGAGCAGCTGCTCTCCACTGAGCGCCTGCACTCCCAGGACCCGCTGCTGTCCCCAGAGCGGACGGCCTTCCCCGAGCAGTCGCTGTCGCGGGCCATCTCGCACACGGACGTCTTTGTGTCCACGCCCGTGCTGGACCGTTACCGCATGACCAAGATGCACTCCCATCCCAGTGCCTCCAATAACTCCTATGCCACCCTGGGCAAGAGTCACTCCACGGCAGCCAAGCGCCACGCCTTTGCCTCACGCAGACACAACACGGTGGAGCAGCTGCACTACATCCCTGGCCACCACACCTGCTATACCGCCAGCAAGACTGAAGTGACCGTGTGACTGGCGGGGCCCGGCTGGGGCCATCTGATGGGCTGGGACCGGGCAGGGCAGGGCAGGACAGGGCAGGGGTCAGGAGCCTTGTACTTCTCCCTTCCCTGGTCCCCTATGTGGGAGGTGGGGGTGTGCACCTGGGTTGAGAAAGCCATACCCCCCAGGGGACACAGCCCCTTGGCCTGGTCCAACACTCAGACCCAGTATCTGGAGCGACTGCTCTTACTCTTCCAGTAGAGTCCCCGGGGAGTAAGGAGAGAGGCGAGGCCCCAGTCTCACTCCCACACCTTCACAGGCTCCCCTCTGTCCCACGTCCCCTCCTCCCCCTTCTGAGGACTCAGTGGCAGGTTCTGTCAGCCAAAAAGACCCTCTCCTGATCTGAAGCCGCCTGGGTTGGAACCGGCCAGCGGGTACAGTCAGTGGGCTGACCGAAGAGGCTGCTCGGTCTCATTCATTGACCTAGAATGCATCACGGAAATCTTCTAGTGCCTACAAACTGCCTGCTCGCTCTCGCCGTCGGAGAGCTGCTGTGTTCATAAGCACAATAACGATTCTCTTCTGCCTGCTGGAACTCTCTGGTCCCCACCAAGTGGCCCTTCCTTTGCTGACCCCACCCCGGCCCTCCTTCCCTCTCTTCAACCCGGCGACAGGGAGCATTCTGTCCTTCAGCTGCGTCTTTGCTGTTGGGACCCCTGTCCTGTTCCAACTGGAGGCCCTGGCCCCCCTCCTATGGGGGACTGGCTTTCCCTAGGCCTACTTGATTCACCCTCAAGTTCTCTGGGGCTTTAGCTCTTGTCCCCTTAGCCCAAGGGGAGTAGCAGTGGGCTGAAGGGACTTCAGGAGTGCCCTTCCTGACCATCCCCACATTTCTTCCAGGCCTCTAAGTCTGAACTATGACCGCCACTCAGGCCTGCCTTCTCCACCCCTGTTTTGCTCCCCGGAGGCACCTTCGGTGGTCAGAGAGAGGCAGGGTGGGGAGGGCCACTGTGATGCCCAGGATCTCAGGGGCTCACCATTCCCATCTTTCCAGGTCTCTGCTTGTCCTCTACCATGAGCCTCAGGCAGGACAGAGRCAAATGCTTCTAGAGAAGGGGTGCTCAGCACCCCCAACAAGAAGGACATCCCTGAGGTAGTTGTCCTACACCATTCACACTCCTCTTTCCCCCATTTCAGCCCATTTGCTGGGCTCCTTCTGGGTTCAGAACTCCCTCTCCCACCCGGCTTCCCTTCCCCCACTGCATCTACCTGCAGCTCCATTACTCTGTCCGGGCTGCTCTTTCCTCAGACCCGTGGCCCAAAGGGGCACAGACACATTGTCAAATGCATTTAAACAATGGTCTTCTGGGCTGCGGATCTGGGGGCTAACTAGCCCATCCCCCTGACACACCTCATTAATTTTTCCCTGCAGTGGGCATCAGGCAGACCTGCGCCCACCCTCTCTGTGAGGGGCTCCACTGCCAGCCCAGCCCAGCCCCTTTGCTGTCTTCAACCTAGAGAGTGGACAATGGTTGACCGCTCCTGGGGGGAACTAACCATGAACAGAGCAGTGTCCGCACCCTCCCCCCCCCAAGACCAGGGGAAGGGAGATGGGGGCTCCTCCATTCTCAGAGCCAGGGCACCTTCCCCAGCTGGGGCTGGGGGAAATCGGTTCCAGACTGTTTGGTAAAGGCATGACGAGAGGAAAACAGACTCCAGCAACCGTGCCCTTAACTGGAATTTGACATTCCCTCAGTTCCGCATGGATGGCCCGTTATAAAAAAGAAGGGTGGGAGGATTCCTCAGTGTCTACCCTGGGGATATTCAATCAAGTCCACCAACAGCAGAGAGATCAATGGACTGCTTCCTCTTACAGATTTCAAGAAATTGCAAATCTCTTTTCTCCTCCCCTTCCCAAGGCTCACTTCCCAGAGTGAACAGGAATGCCTGGCATGAATCCTGAGGGGATGGAGGTTTGGGGTTACAAAGATGCAGCCCTCAGCTTCCCCACTGGGAAAGTGTCCCTGGGACTGTGGTGCCAGGGAGCCAGGGTCCACTTTGCTTTCTTCCCCACAAACACATAAACCTTCTCAAGGGCTGGTCCCCATGGGTTTATGAGTGTTTGTTCTAGAAGGCTGGAGGCTTCTAAGCAGGCTCAGAAAACAAGTCATCAAGTCTAAATATAGCAGTTGATCACTCCCAAAATCAAAGATGTGTCTCACAGCTGGCCCCTAAGCCTTGAGAGCCACTTGTTGGCCGAGGGGATGAGGACAGGACATGGGTAGGTGAGAATGTCCTTCCCGGGTGTCCATACATGCACACACTAAACCCGAGAGCTTGGCACATCCCATCTAGGCATCTTCTAGCCACCAAGTTCTCCATCCCCCGGGGGGATGCTTTTCCCTCAGCCCTGTCTCTGACAAGGTGTCTGTCTCAAGGGTTGTTGGACAGGTTGATCCCAGAAAATTTCTCATTCCAGCCTTACCACTGTCTGGTTGAAAATCTTTGGTATCCGTTGGAGCAGAGAATTCTGCTTAGAAACCCTTACTTCTTTTAAAGGATTTTTTTTTTCCTGTCTTACCCTTGAGTCGGGAAGGAGGGAAGGAGGAAAAGAGGGAGTGAAGAACAGAAAGCGAGAGAAAAAGGGACAGAGATGGGTTTACATAGAGACAGGTCTACAAACATACTCCAATTCAGTCCCCCTATAGCAAAATCCAGAAAACTATGTCTTAACTGGGACATAGAGGGACAGCAGTCCCCCACTCATTCACAGTTTTGCATCACCCTGTTTCCATCAAACATGGTCCTAAAATATTGATATTTGTCTTGACTCTTTATTAATAGAGAAAAACTGAATTCATATAACTTTTATCACAATATATTGCTATAATTATCCTATCTTATTACTACCTGTTGTTGCTAAATCTCTTTCCATGTCTGATTTCTAAACTTGATCACACATGTGCATGTATAAGAAAAAAAAAACATATATATACAGAGCTTGGTACCATCTGCATTTTCAGGCATCTACTTGGGGTCTTGGAGGATATCCCCTGCTAATAAGTGGGGACGGCTGTGTCTCGTTAATTCAGTTGTCCCATCATATTGTTGGAATAAGCAAAGCCACGATACCAGGTGAGTTCTCACAAAGAGAGGGTTCTGGGGCTGGAACCTAGATTCACAACTTCCAGCCCCACCAGGTCAGTGGCCTTTGCTACCCCCAGAGGAGCCACACCTCCTTCATAATAAAGTGCCCCTGCCCCTCCCTAGTAAAGAAAGCCTAAAGCCCAAGATTTCCCTCTGCTCCTTTTTTTGTTCTTTCTTGCATGTCTCCACTGCTCTGATAGAAATGGACAGGAGTTGGCACAGGTCTCTCCTGCTCTGTGTGTTCCTCCTGAAGATCTCAAGATCCCTCACGCCCTTCCACCTTTCCTGTCTTGCTTCCTCCTGCCTAGGATCCCTTAACCTCCGAACTGGGCTTCTTCCCTCAGGATTCCCCAGTGTCTTGGGCAATGGGTCTGCCTCTTAGAAAGTTCCAACCCTCTCCCCAGCTGAAACGTATCCCCTTCTGTTTCTAAGCTCACTCTCTTCTCAACCCCAGTCTCTCTCTCTCTCGTATGCCAGTTTTCTCCTTCTTCTCATTTCCCTCTTCCTCCATTTATCTTCCTCCATCCCTAATTTCTTTTCTCTGGTCCTGCTAGAGTCTCTAGTTTCAAGAACTAGAGCTTTGGGTAAAAACTGTGGAAGAATCAGACATTGCTCGAGTCCTCTTTTGGTCTTATTGGTTTATACTTCAATTCCTACACCTGTAAGGTCATAGCCCAGGGTGTAGAGCCAAGGGCTCTCCCCTGCTGATCTTTGGGAGGGAAGGGGGAGGGTTGCTAGGTTAGAAGTATCATGGCTAAAATATCAGCCTTGGTTTCTATAGCTGCAAGACCCGTGAAGCCCCTGCCCCAGGCTTCTACTAGCCCAGAGGCTCCTGCTCTGGCCAAAGATTCATACCCTTGGGGGCTCTCAGCAACTGCTCTTACTCATTTCTCCTTCCTGATAGTGTGCATCACAACCTCCGCACCCCCCCCCATTTGTTCCAAAGGATTTGAAAGACTCACAGCTCTCAACACATAGAGGAGTATCCATCCCAAGTCCCTGCCACCCAACTCAATCCATTTTCTTCAGAGATACTCTGTCTGCCACCAGCCTTCCACCCTGATTCCTTCCACAGGCATCTGTGGACTTGACCCAAGGTAAAAAAGTTTGAAAGAGCTTCCAATCCCTTGGACCCCGGAAGGCACCTATTCTAAGAAGTGTGGACATATTACCTCCCATTCACATTCCTGTCATTCTCTCCAAATCTGGGAAACTTTGCTCTGGAATATTTTCAAGGGAGCATGTTGTGTTTTAACGAAGTATTTTTCAGGGTTCAAATTGTTATTTTTTATAAAATGCAGCATTTTAATGGCAGATTCAATGTGAAAGAAGTCTTCCTGGGCTCTGTATTTGGTTTTGGAAGATGGCAGACTCGGGGAGAAAAAGAAAGCACAGGGCTGTGGCTCCGGAGATGTGGCTTCCAGCCCTGGCTTTTTCTCCATCTTGCCATGTGACCAAGGGGGAATCATGTTCCTGCTCAGTGCCTCAGTTTTCCCCATCTGTAAAACAAGGGGCTTTGTCTAGATGAGCCTCAAAGTCTCACCCAGCTCTTACATTCTAGGGCTCTCATGTCCATCAGCCTCTCATCTACCATCCTTTCTCCATATCTCTTCCACCTCAACTGAGCTGCACATATTCCACTCTGCCTGCCCCTGGTGACATCCTCAGAAGCCCTAGACAGCCACCAGACTCCTCACCAAAGCCTGGGGTGGGCTCAACGGGCTCAGCCACCCACAGTTACTCTCAGACCAGAAGATGAAGGGTGTGACCATTCAAAAGGTCACCAACCATGCGTCACGGAAGCCTCTCCTGTAGACACACACCTAAACCACCCAGATGTCTATATCACTAAGAAATTCTGAGTCTGGAGTTTTCATTTTTGAAGTGGCCCTTTATAGCTGGAGGGAGGCGATTCCAATTTCAGATAGGGAATGGACTGGAGGAGGAAAGTTCAGAGCCGGCCTGGGAATGTGGAACATGAAGTTTGTATCTGAGGACAGCTGGGAAATACATTCTGAGCCCCAGAGTTGGCAAAGACTCTGTGTGGCCAAGAATGTTCTTAAATCCCACCCTGGAACATGCATCCTGAAGACCAAGTCTGGACGCCGAGGCTCTATTCCAACCAGAGAAGAGGAGGCGCCGCCACCTGGGCTGCTAGGAGGTGGGCACTCACCCCACTCTAGTATCTTTCTGGCCCCTCCTGGGACACTATTGTCCTCCCCATGAAGGCTTGTGAAGCAGGAATGGAGATTCCAAGTTGGTCTCATCCAAACCATCTTGTAAATCGGCAAACACATAAACCTTCCATTGTTCAGAAAAAATGATGCTGTCTGTTTCCTTAATACCCTCCCTGCGGAGGGAGAGGAAGACCCTGCTCAACTGTGCTGCCCACCCTGCAGTGACCCTTGAGAGAGCCACTCCCCGGGAGGACCCGTTCATTTGCTTC